GCCTCAAGTTGGTGTGTGATTGAACGGGAGCGGATAAATCAACCGGCGAAACGCCGTTCCCATGCACGGCTGCACTACTAGTATTAATATTAAACTTTCGTTCATCGACCCTTTCAGCGAAATTACGGGGTTAATAAAATATGCATACTTTTATAATTAATTTTTAATTGGGGGCGAGTATATTAGAGATATTAATTGAATTTAAAAAGCGCCTTGCCCCAAATAAGCTTCCGAGCTTGTTTGGCGTTCTCGAACTTCAAGAACAGGGTTTTTATATGCTCAACAGTGCACTAACATCGTGCTTTTGCCAATTACGCTGCCATGTTGGTGATATATATATTTTTTTATTTTACACTTACTCGATAATAGTGTATGCCCTTTGCTTTTTGAGGAAACTATTCGTATCCATTGTAGCGCGTGAGCTGACAATTGAATAGTATTCAAGCTCTTGATTGGTAAGTCTTTAATCCTCTGATAGGTTTATACTGACACTTGCTGACTTACACTTTTTCGTCACTATTTCGAGTAAGAGCGATTAGAGCAGGTGTCTTATTAGTTTTTATGAGAAATTCTTGTCTACTTATTGGTCTGTCATCGACCTTACTGAGTTGCACCAAGCTAATGGAATTTAAACCATTTTCATTTACTTCCCAAGTTTGTCCGCATCTTCTCCAGACAATATGTCGCACTTTTAAACATTCTGTTTTTGAAAACCCCTGGAGAAATAAGTCCGATGGTCGCTTGATTGGATCGTTTGTCCCTGTTCACGTCAACAGTTCGCCTCACCCCTAGCTTCACTCATTCTAGACCTCTATAAATTAGAATGCTTCAATATCAAATCATGTCGTAATTTGAGGGTGGGTCGTGCCCGATAGCAAAATGCAAATTTTGCAGTATCCTAACGCAAGTTTGCCTACGCAATATCACCTCGTTTCGTAAAATCAATTAATTTTAAAGGTGTTTATAGATACACCTCATTATATTTAAAGATATAGATACAGATCTTGTATAAATTATAGTCAATAATGCCTACAATTGTGCAAATATTTAATATAATTATTTTTTCGTGCTGCTGGGCAATAATAGTTATTTACACCGTAAAGGAGGTAAGTATTATTTACCAGTCGAGGACGATTTTGCGCCAGAGCGGAGCGAGGGCTGGCAATAGAGTCCGAATCCGAATCAAAAATTTCGATGACATTATTGTAGTTACAATTCCAGACTCTGGAAATGGTATGTCACGTACGTTTACAATTGCTTCTCGTCTGGGTTCTTTCTGTTTCTCACCTAGAAACTTAAAACTGAAATTTCACGCTTTTTTATGCGCTATCAGGCAGATGATGTTACAACTAACCAATCGGCAAGAATACCCTTTCTATGATTCCTAATAAGATTGCACACTTTTTGAAACTAGAACATCCTGAAACATATACAGGCCATTCATTCCGAAGAACATCGGTAACGTTACTGGCTAATACACTGTTAGTAATTCGAATTCGAATATGACTCGGTTTGTATTGAATTGTTTGAACACAATGTTGATTACACTTTCGTTAATCAATTGTCTTGAACAAAGGTTTTTCAGTATCGTTTTTATTCAGCTTTTAATGGTTAACATCATCGATTTTTGACAACACCCCCTAGTGTCGATTTATCTGAGTATTGTGCGGGATAAGTTCCATTTGAATGTTTCACTTTAAATTTCCATCAGGAATTTACGAAGCTACGGCAGATACTTTTACCTCCCCGCGTTTTATGTGGTGCTTGGGGTTTAACAGCTGCACCGAATTTACGCCAGTTTCATTGTAAAATGTGAACCGAAGCATATTAATAGACTCTGTATCCCACTGGATAACTATAAATTAACTTACATAATATTACAGCAAAATACAAAACTGAATTTACGAATTTATTAGACTTCCAGTGCACGCGACCCACTTTGACTCTGACAAGTGGATAAAACTGCGCTTCGCAGTGAATCATTCTCGTACATTTTTGCCTGGAAACTTCACTCTCGCGGTTGCTCTGGTGTGACGAGAGTTTGGAGCGCATCTGGTAGTTTACGGCGTACCTACTATTTATGACACTGTATATATTTTAACTTTGAAAATTGATAATGTAACTTTAAAGGAAGTTTAAATTAGCAAGGGAAGCACATAAGAGCTACCGACAGGGAACCTCAGACAGTTTCGTTTTCACATAAAATTATGTTCTAAAGTTATTACGCCAATTTTCCCTAAAATCTTCCACGTTCCGGGGAAATCTTAATAGAATAAAACAGCGATTTTACGAGGCACGCTAAAGGAGTGCCTAAGACGTATACAGAGCGTTCATGATGAAAGGAACAAATTCGTTTAAAATTCAGGTAACTATTTTGTGGAAAAACGTCAGGGTTGATGTTCAACCCATATCTTAATGGTCTAGTGGTGGCTGAGTGGTTTTCTTGAATTTCTAGCTAATTTTCCAGAAAATTGGAAACATCACAACGATTTTCTTGTTGATCCGCAGCGGTCTTTGGCGTTCGCTCTGACTTCATGTGTCTAATTTTTTTTTATGCCATATGGGAAGCTCAGGTGGTGAATTTCGAATGATCGTTGAAAATGTTCTACCGGCACTGTCTGGGTCTTAAGTGCTCTGTCTCAGTGCTCTTGAAGCTTTTTCGAGCGCTGTGGGCGATTTCTTGGCATGGACTGGAAACATGGGTGAAATTTGACCTATTTGAATCATTTGTGTGTATTGAAGATTTGATTCATTTTTCATTTTTTTTCTCTACCTACCCGAGCTAAAAACTTCATAAAAATTCGCTCTGCAATTATACCGAGTCCATAAAAACAGAAAACAATTATATTGCGATGCAATAAAGAAGATCTAGAGCAGCGGTGGAGTTGATTACACGGTACGTCTGTCGGGATAACCGGATGGCCAGTAGCCTCTCGCTACGTCGAAATAATTTCTAATAAAAAAATAATCCGGTCGAGCTCAGCGCGCCTGTTAGTTGAATCGAATTTGGGCAACTACCGCCGCTGACATGGCGCTGCCGAATGAGCGTACGTGGATTAATATGAGAGATACCTAAATATGAGCGAGCTTTCGACTTCCAGCCGAAACTAATGAACTTTTCCTTGTTTCTATACTCATAAATAATAATTACTGTTTACTTAGAGACATACGGGCTACGTGAAAAAATAAAATAATTTACGTCGAATGTTGACATAAATTTATTTGAGCCGCAGAGGTTTATGCAGGAAAATTTATTTTAGCATTTTTTTTCATGGTTTTCGAAAATTGTTCATAAATATTTAGTTTTCCATTCATAACAAAAAATCCAATAAAATCACATATGTAAACGTATATTTTAAACTGCGTGCAGTTTATTGTGTAGAATATGTAGTTATGGTCTTGAAGAACAAACAGATTGACAATATGTACGAGGTTCGGTCGCTGACGCAGCAACTCGGCATTGAAATATTTGAAGAACTTATTCTCATATTTATTTAGCCATATCCATATCTGATCGAACTAAACGTGGTGGTAGAAATGTACACGCCCAGTTGAAGAATGCGCGCGCGGGCAAAGGGAAACAAACAGTTGTATTGGGCTACTGGGCAATAAATCTCAGCAGCAACAAGTGGTTGATAAATTGCTCAGCAGTGCAGTGCAGCAATGCGGAATTTGGTGTGATTCAGGTAATTTTAATTTATTATAGGCACCTTCTATCAATCATACATATTACAATTGCGGAAGGGAGAAATAAGAGGGATATTTTGTTTACTAATACTATCACAACATGGCATTTTGGAGACCTTTTGAAACGGAACAAAACGAAATTTACCACCAATATAATAAAATTGGTTGAGGATATAACTAACTAAAATATGTTGGCCAAATGAACATATAATAGAAATTTTCTACAAATTATGTACAAATTATAATTTTTTACGTTTAACAGAAAACTTTGTTAGGGACATCTATAAAACTCATTAAATTTTATTGCCAGCCGTTTTTTTTGCATGTTCAACTGACTTCGGAAAAACTATAACAGTTCTTTTTGAGTAAAAATTAGAAATAAAAAACCAAATATAAAATAAATAGGCTATTTCAGTAAATGTTTTTTTAAGACATAATGAAGAATACTTAAATATTTCATATCTTCAATCGCCCTGTATGAAAGAATCTGTACCATATTATTTTCTACTAGAACGTTTTTTGTTAGCTCCCGAGTCCAGATCCAGTATTAGTTGTAAAAAAAATTGTTGCTCATGTATAATTTTAATTTAAAATTTTATCCACAAGGCTGTAATCTCTGCGGTCTGTAGGCGTACGCTCTGCTGAATTAGGCTTTGTTCGTGGCTCGAGAAAATATTTAAATGTGATATAAAGTTGGAGAAGTAACTAAAAGTATAGAAATGTAAAGCCTAATTCTCTAGTACTATACCCTACATCACAAAAAAATGGAAACTAAGAGAATACGTAAATCTCCCTCTATAATAAATTTAAATTTGTTTAAAACATGCTAACGTAATAATTCTATTTTTAAATGATATTCAAATGCAAATAAAACATCACGAACATCAAAATACACTTTGGTAAGTAAACACTTTTATGGAAAAACGTTCAACAATAACGGATTTAAAGCTTAGTATCACGAATTTATTATTATGTTCCTCAAGGATATAATCTGGGACCTCTTTTATTTCGGTATTTATTAATGACTACAAACATTATTAATTACTATAATCTGCTCTTTGTAGATGATTTAAAAAGAATAAAAAAAAAAAAGTTAAGTGTGTCACTTCGCGGAATAATGTAGCATAAGATTTTAGAATTTCAAGTGAGATATCTGGCGACGTTGACGACGATTTATAAATAGCAGGGACTCGTAACAAATTTCCACTTTGTAATAATGCCCCATTTAATCTTGCCTCTAAACGAGCAAAAATACCCGCTCTAGAGGCGGCGATTTATCAAAATGTGTAAACGTGGTACTTTATAAATTCCAGTTGGACAATCAAGTGGGCTGCATCTGATAAGCCTGACCGGCCCCGTCGTAGCCGACCTACGCCAGGATATGGAGCTCGACTGCCGCTTCGACATGGGCACCGAGGAATTATACGCCGTGAAGTGGTACAAGGATGACCAGGAGTTCTTCAGGTGAGTGCATTCAACTTCCTGGGAAATATACTGTCTTTAATATCGCCCCGATTCAGCTGATATTTATGATCCCTGCTACGACCGTTTTATTAAACCGTTTTCAACCGAGAAAGTGTATCGGACCATTACCACCTAGATTACAAATATACGGGGTGTTTTGTAACTGATAAGCCATGCTGTTTTGCAAATGGTTTTTGGATTTGAGAACACAAACAAATGGTGAAACAAATTAAACATAAAATACATCGATACAGTCTCGAAATGCAGAATCAACTGCTTCAAATTATATTGAGATGGTAATGATCAGACTCAATGTGGATCGAAATCTGTAATATTCATGTTATTAAATAAATAATAGTTATTTATTGTATAAGTGTTTTCCACGCAAGAATGTTTAAACACGAGAACGTAGTTCGAACATTTAATATTCTTAAGTGGATAAAAGGCAATTAAAACATGAATGCAATACAACGCTTTATCCATAATAACATCACAATCATATTTGCGAATTCAGAATCATTGGAATTTAATAAAAACATATTCGCACAACTTGATATTTCTTACTTGTAGTCAATGAAACGTGGTAGGATTTGTTGTACGCTATGGTACGTTGTTTATTATCAATTATTTAATAAACAGTTATATCTGAATTCGGTAGAAATGCAAGAAAGTAATTGTATTCCTGTGGCTGTTTTTTAAGAAGCTCAAGAAGCAATTTTGCATTTATTGTCAGCGAAATTCAGGAAACATTACTAAAAAGTGTCCGCCGAATTTAACGAATGGAGGGAAAAACGGAAAGTAATGACAATAAATGAAGAAGTCAGTCATGCTACCGTATTTTTTAAAAGAAAAAATATGCAGTTTCATCTATGTGGTCGAAGTATTCGATGTTGAAGGCTACTATAAAGGTCTACAAAAATATAGGTTGCTCTAATAATGGAGGTTTTTGATGCCTGTCGATGCTGCGAATTGACATATTAAAAATTAGAGACGTACAGAACGTTGGTAGTTACCTACTTGTTTTAATACCTGACACCAAGACGGGCATTTCAAGAATATTCTAATTATAAAAGAAAGATTTTGCGTGAATAAATAAAGTTACTTTATGGATAAAGTATAACTTTAGACGGTTCATATGTGTCCGATTATAAGGTGATTGTGGATACATTGATTTTATACTATTTAATTCATCCTATCAAAGAACAACGAAATTAAAGGATGAAATGAATACTAAGGAGATTCATGTGGGCATCTCAAGCTGATTGTTGATTTTTGAAAGTCACATGTCTATCAATGTATTCTGAATATTTTGCGCAGTTTCTCTTACATTCTATCCAATCAATTTTGATTGAACTGGAACGTTTCAAGCGGGCCCTCATTTTTCACATTCATAATCTATAAAATATTAGACTTGGAAATATAAATTTGCGATTTGCAGCTTGATTTACTGTTTTACTCGTATGTATGAATACATACATTTTTGAACGTAGCAGGGCACATAACGTGATTTTATTTCCCTTAATCCTTAATAAAAAATATTATTCCAATTAAAAAATGTTGGTAAATGAATATCGAGAGAATATGTTCCCCGAGTTATTATGGCGTTTTATACATAAATTTAGTTATATTTTATAATTTCCAAAAACATGAGGATATTGCATTGAAATTTGGTACACAAGTGAGTTTTTAAGGGTGTTAAGTGATCGGTTAAGTTATTTTTTGCTTATCTGCTAGTGGTAGTGAAAATTAAATTTTAATATAGTTGCAATATTTGACATACCAGTAAATACCTAACTTCAAAGCAAATTTCGATACATTATGCTGTAATTTAAAAAAAAATGTTGTTAAATGTTAAATTTTGTTTTAAAGAACATCTGGTATCTCAAAAATAAATAGTGATAAGTTCATTGAAAAAATAGTCTTACACTCTTTGATATTCTATCAGCCCTGAATACCATTTTTCAAAAATACCTTGTATATCGCGCATATTTACAGAAGCGACTAATTAATTTAAACAGTGTCATTTTAATTTCGCTAGTCAATTATTTCGTGAAAATAAACTGTAACAAAAGTTGGGGGGTCACCTTGGATTTGACCTTGACCCATATTCTCAAGGTCATTTGAAGGTCGACTTATTTTTTTTAATAGAAACGTCTATTTTTCACTTTAGAAATGAAAAGAGCTGAAAACTTTACGTTTGAATACATAGTCTCATTTTTTCTGATGATCAGCCCAAGTTCAATTTTACATCTTATTCATAATTCAAAAGAATGGTGAACTGTTAATTCTACTGCTCCAGAGGTAGTGAAATTATGACCTTGTATTGGCCCTTTTCAAGGTCATTTTGATTATCGACTCATTTATTGCAGCAGCATTTTTACTTGAGAAATGATAATAAAGGAAAAATTTTACGTATGATTTTAGGTGAAAGTGCCCTTTGAAGATCATCTCGAGGTTGATTCTGCATCCCTTTTGTTAAGTTGAAATAGTAAAGAATAATAAATAAACTTCAAAATCCGCTAAAAGTAGGTGTTATTATTTAAAAAACATAATTGACCTCAAACTGACCTTGACTTGACGTTTCTTTAAATATTTTTTTCATCAAAAACTAAACTGTTTATTCTGACTATAAATTTGAATGTATTTTCATTTCTGAAGTAAAAATAGTCGTTTCTCTTAGAAAAAATGAGTTGTTATTCAAAATAACCTTGAAAAGGATCAAAGTCAAATCCAAGGTCATTAGTTCACCATCTCCGAAGCTGGTGATTCTAGTCAGAATCACTCTAAAAAATTCATTATTCTTTTGAATTATGAATGAGATGTAGAACTGACCTTGAGATAATCTTCAAAAGTCACTTTTACTAAAAACCGTACTATGTATTCATATGTAAAATTTTCCAACCTTCATTTCTCAAGTGAAAAATAGTACGTTTCTATTTTAAAAAAAAGTTGATATTCAAATGACCTTGAGAATATGGGTCAAGGTCACAAGGTGACCCCCAACAAACCAAACAACTTTTGTTAAGGTTTATTTTCACAAAATGACCCCCCCCCCTCCGAAATAATTGATATTAAAATGATCCTGTATATTAGTATCAGTTTGTGTTGATACATCTTGTGCAGTGAGTTATAGCTGTAAATTTAATACTACATTCTGTATATATATATATATATATAT